CAGTTACCAAATTATCACTAGTTTACTTATAAAACTTGACTGCAGGAATGTACAAGTTAAATCCCTATCATACAAAATACTAAGCCTTGTGTAAAATAGATGATGCATGGTGTTCAAATCCCACATCTTAATGTCTTTCATTGACACCATAATAAAATCTATTAAGATTAAAACAATTAGTCAAGATATGTGATTCATTAAAATTCCTGATGTCAAATACAATTAACCCTTTACACACGGGTCAAAGATCATGTCATCTTGTTTGTTGACTCGCATTCAAAATTATGTTTAACTACTATTTCATAACTATATGTCAATACGCTTGGTATCAAACTGTAGATTATAATTCAAAAGTAGTATTAAAAAAACACAGTTAAACATCGATTTTTTTGTCACATGGTATGTTGAATGCAGCACTGGTTCAAATTAGATGTTTGTGAAGTCAAACTGTAGTGCTAATCTCTGTAAGAGCATACGATTCTCGGGAAGGCCTACTGTAGTGCTAATCTCTGTAAGAGCATACGATTCTTCGGGAAGGCCTACTGTAGTGCTAATCTCTGTAAGAGCATACGATTCTCGGGAAGGCCTACTGTAGTGCTAATCTCTGTAAGAGCATACGATTCTTACAATAAAGTGAATAATACATGTTATTTTCTTGCAGGAAATTAATACTTGAGAGCTTAATTTCACACACACACAGCTCTCAGAAGCAAAGATCCTCTTATACAGTATGTTTATTTGCAGTACAAACTTTACCAAGGTGCAATCAGAAAAAGTATACAACTTCACTAGACCTATTACAAGAATTTAAATTTTACATATAAATTAACAAGTAAACATTGTAAAAGCATGTAGTTACCATTTTATCCATTCCTCTTGGGCCCAAGCTAGTTCGAATGGCATCAGACACAGCTGTAACATAAAATTCATAATATTATTAGTCTAACACGCGAGTTACTTAAATTGAATGACTATAAGCTAAAATACTTAAGTCTCTATGATGGTTAGATCTTAAACGATAAAAACTCCATTTACATTGACAACAAAAACTTTATATAAAAATACATTTGCAAAAATACTGGGACAATACACTTTAACAAGGATTATGTCAGGTTTTGCAATTAGGGCCCCATTATAATAGGGTGTTAATCAGATTAAAAACTATTGGTAACATTTGCTACCAACTCTTGTTATACATCTGTAGGACAGTCTACTAATTCTCTTCAAAATCTCCAACTAAGTGTACTGATTTTATGGTCCATCCTTTCTGTTCCTCAGGCAATTGTATTCATGTCACATTCTCATTGCCACTAAACTTGCTTGCCCTGTCTTTGTTATTCCAAAGCTATAAAGGCTATCTGCCACTGTCACTAACTTTGGAACTGTTAACTACAAAGAAAGCAATTGGCTGGCAGCACCCACTGCCAACTCATGGGCTTCTTTTATGTCCAGTAAAGTGTAAATTTTTCTGTTTTTTATAGATTGCATTATGTTTCTAATTTATAATATCATAACCGTGTTCTTTAATGTTGAATAAGGTATTACATTGCAATTTACAACTTTGTTCGTTAGTACTGAGTAAACTATAAATTTACTTTTTCTACATTGTGCATGTTATGTTTGTAACACCACATCTCTTATTTTCCTGGTGAAAGTGACAACAAACTGGGACCAATAACTTTCTGATCAGGTGCAAGCACTCAAGAAGCAGTATTCTTTATCAAGTTATTCATGCCAACCTTTCAACCACATGATAATGTCCAAATGTAAATGTACTAATCCATTTTCAAAAAACCATAAAAAGTTCAATAAACTTTTACTTCCATATTTTAATGCTATATTAAACACTTTATTAATGTAACAAAACATGACATATAAATGTTTCTACATTGAACATAATATCATATAGAATAATAATAATAAAAAAACTCCACTATCAAAAACCTAAAAGTTTCACACTTTTTCTTTCAGGAATGTCCAGGAAACACAAGATGTTTATACACTTATCATTCAGCTAATTTTCACCCATTATTCATGTGTGCAAGGTTGGTACTAAATCCATCCACTAAACTAACTTTGATGAGAACTAACTTTGAATTATATCAGGCAAAAAAGTCCACACCTTGTAATAAATGTATAAAGAAATATACCAAAAGATAAATTGTGCATTTATCATATCATTTTTATGCTAATTAGTGAATAATTTATTGTACATTGGTTCCCAGTAGTTTTGTATAAATTCCCTTTGTTTTTCTTGAATAACAATTTCTCAAAATATCGATCCTAACAAAACTATCCACTTTGTTTAATGTAATTTGAAACATGCACAATCTCCACATTACTAATAACTTTAATAACACTTAATTAATTATTTTGTCAGCATGTTTCTTTATTGATACTGTGATATACAATTGCTAAGTAATGAGCTTTTGTTTTCATAGAAATAGCTCAATGTGCAGATGTTTAAACCTTTCTATACTTCAGGGTCAAGGTGTGCATGTTGTAGTCTTTTAGACTTACATTCAAAATTTATTTAACTCTCTCACTATGGGCTCGGTCCCAGGTACTGATCTAGTAGCCATTTCGTGCTTGTTATACTTTTCATACTAGAACTTTTAATACAGTATGCTTATATTAATGAAATTTTGCAGATTATCAGTAAATATTACAAGGCTTCCATATACAAAATATCAGATTTTTGTATTAAGCTTTAAGATTTCTTAAGTAATGATTTTCTTGTGCATTTTTCCTTTTCGAATGTTGACTATCCAACATGCAAAGTAATTTTGATTTTAAGATTAAAAATAATTTTATGCATCACAAAATTGTCAAAGTTCACCTGCAAAATCTCTATAACTTTTAGAAAATAACTGTATATTTTATCTGTTATTTTTTGTATTGTATCTCTGTATGGGTTTGGTTGATTTAACTGACCTCTTAACCACCATAAAAAATCACGAAATGGATACAAGTTATGCTTTTTTCATTCTAGAATGATCACAAAGTATAACACAAAACCATAAATGTTTAGTCTAAATAGCTTAAATTTCATAACATTATACATCTATATATATTTATTATTTTTATTTTATTAACCTTTCAGCTGTGCCTGTCTAACATTACACAAGTTACAATGACATGTGTACTCATGTTACCATATCCAATAGTATAAAACTGGCCTTTACAAACTCACCTGTCTTGGCTTTGTTCTAGTGAACCAGTATTTTGTAAAATAGTCACATTCTGGTTATAGCACATTACATGTGTATAGCTATTATTACTATATTTAATTATATTTATTATATTATAATTATTATTACTATTTATAAACAAGTTCTTAAATTTCAGTTATTTTTCTTAAAACATAAAACAGTAAATAAAGAAATACAGAAAACAATAATCTCTACTACTTACAATTGTAAAGAAGTTCGTACTCGCTTACCTTACCTTGCTTGCTAAGACTTGCTGAATTTCACACATGGAGGATGTAAAACAAAACAACTTTTCTATGTTTTATATATGCAATTTTGAAATAACAAAAAAATTATAAATTACTATCAATATTGCAAAATTCACTGTAATTTATCAGGCTTACTAATTAAACTGTATTTGGGTCTAAAAAAATAGTTTTTCAAACAATATAAGAAACAAACTTGGGAAACTGTGAACTTTTGATTGGTTATAAACATATGATAAAGTGAAGCAGGTGTATGTAAGCACTTCCAAAAATGGAAGAGGTGGGCAGGGCCACTGTTTGATTTGCTAAATATAATATCTCAGCATAGAAAAGACAGGAGGTTTTTTTTTACATTCTAGCTTCTAAATGTCAGTAATTTGAGTTCCTAATTCATAAGAATCAATAGACTTTGTATTTATTTGGGTATCACTTGGATATACAAGACTGCTTTGTGTAAGTGGTATCACTTAGTTTATTTTGTGACTTAATATTTAATGATTGTTTAGTTTTAAGACAGGAGTGTTGAAGATAAATTGTTTCAAGAGTGTTAGTTGTGACAAATTTTGTTACATAACTCTGTACGAATCATATGTTGTGTTTGCAATGACACTGTTGTCTAGGCTTTACTAATGTTGTTGATGCCACGTTACTTTCATCTTTGGTGTTTTTCTCATTACCTTAACTGAGTATTGTTAACTCATCTCGTCACATATTTTGTAGAAAATTACAGGCCTCAGTTGGGCAAGATACACATATAGGTGATCAAACCAATTGGTTATTTATGTCATATATATAGAAGTAGGTTTATATAAGGGAGAGTTTCCAAAACTGGAAAGATGTGAATGGGGGGGGGGACAATGTGTTTGATTTATTACATGAGCAATATCTTAGCAAATTAAAAAAAATAAGACCTTCTTATTTTATATTCTAGCTTGTCAATATTGGTAATTTGAGTTTATAATTCATATGAAACTACATACTTAGTATTTTGACTTCACAAACATACCATGTAATACCATGTATTTTTCGGTGTATAAGACCCTTTTTTTTACCCCAAAATTTGATGTTGAAATCCTGCTTGCGTCCTATACACCAAAAGTATGAATAATATATATGTATATATATATATATATGATATACATAAGCCATGTGTAAATATATTTAAATAGGCATGCATAGTTTAATTTGATTGAATGTGTTATTTATAACAATAGTAGTTTTTTTTTCTTTTAAAAACATAACTATGTATAATGCTCCCTAAATAATAAAAAAATAAATTATAGTAATGGATGAGAGTGAAGGAAAATACTCATAGCTTTGCTATAACCAAAGAATTCTTATATAAACCACTGACAGCTACAAATTGACAACATCAATGTACTTTTTCACACCCGATATTATTTAAAGGGCACATTCAGCAACCTTAACACTGTAAGCCCACCTGTAGATACAAAACTTAACAAGGAGAAACTGTACAATTAAAAGCATCTCACAATTCTCACACCTCACTGGTAAGTCATGTAACAAAATATACAGTGTCTGCTTCATTGACCACACTGTAAATTATGTAGGTCCTACTAATTACCACAAACTAAACAATAACACAGATAAATAAGACCCAAAACATACATATAATTTAAGCAAATATACTTATTGTCTGGCAGTGAAGTACTTTATGCCAAAAAAGCTTTTCAAAATAACAGTGAGAAAAAATAACTTCACTAATGTTTTTACACACACACGTGTAAATTAATTAATAGTTTTAAAGCTATTAAATACATTAACTGTAAATAGGCAGTTTTTAATCAGCACTATACAACAATAATGATGAAATAAATATAAATCAAAAACTTCACAGAAAGACTCAAAAATCCAAATTAATTTTTCCATTTTTACCAGTCCTTGTTGTCGTCATTAAAACTCGTGACAGATATCTATGCCCACAGAACCCAAGCATGTTGGGAATATTCCATCTATCAAACAAGATCTGTTTTCAAACTAGCCAGCAATAAGGAAAATCAGTTACAGTTTATGAGATGAGTGCTTGAACCCACAACGTCTCAACTCCTACTGACTTTCACTGTCTACAGCTAGTTGTGGGAAGGCAGTTACTCTTAATAATATTTAGATACAACCTAAAGTAGAAATAAACCACCCTAAATATAGTGTAAAACTCCCAAACTCCATCCTTTTAATGAGATGTACAAAGGGCAAAAATATTCTCATAGTAAAATATCTGCAAGCCTCTCAATCTCCACTCTTTTATTTAATAATTACAAAATTATGTTAAACAGAACTAAAACCCTGACCTAAATAGTTCTTAATTCCCCAATGTTGAGCAGTGATACACTATATTCATTCTATAATATTTTGTGAAGTTTCCAGGGATACACCCAGTCCATCAAATGACCTCTGAAGCAAACTTCTTACAGGTAACCCTTCAAAGCTTCAGTGGGCTGAATCACGTCAAACATGGTGTTTGCCTATTGATGGCCCACACATTGTAATATGATTATTATCCTGAAAACCCAAATATCATATCCATTTGCTTCCCTCTCTTCCAGGCTTTCATCAAGAAATGAGATAACATAACATTTAAGGACAACATGGGACCTAATGGTCCATCTAGCCTATCCTATTCGCTAAACTATTTAAAAATAAAATAACATACCTCAAAGCCAGCCCTTATGAATATTATTTGAATACTTATCAAGCCTTCCTTTAAGTTAAATCCATTAAAAGTGTTTTCAATACATCTGATCTACTCACTCCAAAGGCCAACTAATCATTTGCATACTTCACTTCTAAAACATGTTCATAAAGTGAAAGGCCACGCAAAAACAAGTACATTAATAATGTATTAATGCTAGAAGTAAAAGTATATACTATACAGTAATTATGTAAATTAGATTAGGCTTAGCATTTTGTTTTACTTACCTTTCGCAGCTGTAATATTACTCGATCTAACTTGCGTTGGTTTGTCTTTATCACGGTAACCAAATGATGAAGTATCATTTTTACTGTTAGAAATACTCGAATTTCCTGATGCAGAAGATTTGACAGTCATTTTTAATACCAAGATGGAATACAGAAATTTAAATGCTGAAAGGCCTATCCACCACGCCTGTTCTTGTAAACGTTACGTCTCGCTTTGTCATGCGGCCCACTCAGCAACAGAGATGGTTCTAGAAGCACATTGTTGGTCTTCGATTTCAGGATATATATGGAACTTAAAAACTATGGTTTCCAACTGAACTAATATTGATATTTTCAATTGAAATGGAAGAATATTTTATTAGCCCAGAAATTAATTAGTAGTTTAAACAAAACGTATTCTGTGTTGTTTATTCTTATCTAAATTTTATCAACTGTTATCGAGAAAGCATAATGCTGTTCTGATAGATTTAAATTTGTTAAGTCATACTTTTAGTAAGTACTATGAACAGGCTGCATAACACATTATCAGATGTGTTCAAATTCGAACCCACTTTGAAACTAATAATGGTTGGAGACGGTTTTAATGGGTAATGAAGAAAAACTTTAATATAAGTTTAACCTGATGATGACAAAACCTTGTCCATACATTGTACATTTGCTGTTATGTTAAACTTATATTAAAGTTTTCTTCATTACCCATTCAAGCCGTCTCCAACCATTATTATCAGATGTGGTTAGGGTGCTAGACTCGCAAACTGCGGGTCGCGGGGTCGAATCCCTGTTCTCCCAAACATGTTCGCCTTTTCAGCCTTGGGGCGTTATAATGTGACAGTCAATCCCACTATTTGTTGGTAAAATAATTGTCGGCGGTTGGTGATGACTAGCTTTCACTGCTAAATTAGGAACGGCTAGCGCAGATAACCCTCGTGTAGCTTTACACGAAATTCATAACAAACCTAACAAACATTATCAACGAATTGAAGTTTACTTTTAAAGGTTAGTTACTTACGCAGTAGGTAATCCAAGGTATAAAGCAAATTATACCGACTTTAATTCATATGAATTTATCAAATTACATAAAACGATACAACATCCTCCTCTAGATGTGTGTTACAAATTTCTTTTCTTTTTTACTAAAACTGGCAAAAAATAAAATTGAAATTATTATCTACGACGTAGAAGCCTAATGCATTCCATGATTGGCCGTACCCTCTGCTGTGGACTGCTGTTTCGCCTATTCAAGGATTATCAGCACAGCTTGGGTCAGCAAACCTAAATAAGTTAGGACTCTTATATTATAATTGTGATGCTCTTCTATAGGCTCCCTATGATGGAAGGTAGATATCTAGAAACCAAACTGTTATTAGGTTTTATACAAGTAGGTCAATGAGTAGTGCAATAATACTATCCGGGAACTTTTATTTTACATTTCTCCATAATAAATGTAAAATACCTTTTTTGTGTGTATGTGTAGGTCAAAGAGATATTAATCAAAAAATTATAAATACAAAAAATCAGTGAAGCGTTGAGTCAGTGTTTTGCCTTCAGTTTGGTACAGTGTCAGTAATCAAATTAAAATTTAGCTTTAGTAAAGTATTTTGTTCCTTGTTAATTATTACATATATTAAATTGCTTGATACGGTTAGCATGTACAAGTAAGTTTATTTTTACGTTAGTCATAGTACCATTAACGAGTTTCATTTGAACGTTATTTGCAAGCTCGGGCTTCCAAGTTACAACAGTATTACAAGTGAAGGAGCTTTAGAAAAGTTAAAGAAATATTAACAAATTTGGTATTACGTGGACTGGACTTGGCCTTATCTTCACCTGATAAATTAATAGAATCAACCTAAGGAAAAAAAAAAAAACATTAAAATATTAGTTTAGAAACAATATACTATTAACGGTAAACCAGCAAATGATTGGAAATGTATTTGTAACAACTATGTGGCTAGAGTCAAAGAGAGAGTCTACATAACTTTTTGAATATTTTGAAAGTAAAAAAAAAAGGTGAATGCATTAAATATTTTGAGTAACTTATACCGCATAAAAGCTATTATTTAAGTCTGTCATTTATAGTCTAGTGTCACGATACCGAACTTTAACTTAACGAAAACTTATTTAGCATAAGATAAGCCTGTTTCAATTTCAATACAGACTGCGCGTCCTAAGAAGTGGAAGATAAATTTCGATATTTTTAGTTTGAAATTGAATGTTCTTAATAAAGTGTAGTAAGGAAATAACTAACTTATACTATAATTTACAGTTTGGATAGTTAATTTTATTTAAGAAACATTTTAATACATTTAAGGAAAATCCATAATTACCAAATGCTTTTGAATTTGAAATTGAATAACTGTGGGATAAAACAAACATTAATTACAACAATTATCTGTGCAAGGTAAGCCTAATCACTTAATTTTAAGTCTTTCCGTCACGATTTGTTATAGTATATGGTTGTGTTGTTTATCCTATCTAACGTACATGTTCAAAGCAGAAAAAAGGCATATGGGCAGGACGGAACTTAGGAAAAGGTGGCCCAGGCCAAGGCCTCATTTTAGGACCCATACGAACTACTTTGCCCAAATTTCATAAATGTTTTTCCAGATATCTAAGTGGAGTAAAAAAGTAAAACTAAAAACCAATATACGATATTATTAAAAAATATTAGAATAAAAAAATGGCATTCACAGACTTGAAAAGTTTTAACCTATTTAAAAAAAATGGATCTATATTTATTTTTGTTTTACTATATCTATTTTCATTTATATTTTTTTATTTTCATCTAATTTTATTTTTAACTTCTTTGGGGCCTGGGCAGCTCCCCTGTTTGTCCTGCTATAAATTCGGCCCTGCACGAGTGGGAGGGTGTATAAGGGGTCAAAATGGAACACTGACTCCTCTATTTTACTTCAAGGGGGGGTTAAGGTACATGCAAAGTTTGATGACAACTGATTTAGTGGATTGTCAGTTCAAACAATATAAGCAAGCATACATACACAGATTTTTGTTAAATAATGGTATAGAATCTAATTACTATTAATACTACTTATCTAATACTATGTACTAAGCTGGATCACTTGCTTCTATAATTTTTAATTGCTTGTTTGAAGTTGAACATTTTCTTGTTAACTTTAACTTTATAGTTATATACCATAATTTAAACATGTATTTCATTTTTTTTTATCTCTTAGAACAGTTTTTATATCTGTTTGTTTACATGTTTTAACTTTTAATTTTAAAGACTAGTGACAGCAACTAAACTGGTAAGGCAAAAAAACAAACATGATAGTTGAAAGATACATTCAGCTTTTCAACTGAGGGTTTGCATATAGGTTTGGAAGGATCACTGGAATTTTGAGAATCTAATAATTCTTGAAAATATATAGCATGGCTGAAGAAAATGATCTTGACTGGCACAGTCCTGAAGTCACTCAAGCCATCAAAGCAGTGCTCTCATGCTAGTAGGAAAGCTAATGGAATTTTAGGGTGTATTTATAAGTATTAATTACAGATCAAAAGGGGTAATTAACCCTATAAAAACTATATATATATATATATATATATATATTTATTTATTAGGCCTAATACTAATGTCTTATGACATATACAATTAAGTTTACTTCACTTGGAATACTGTATGCCATTCAAGGAAATTGGAAAAGGTTCTGAGGAGGGCCACTAGGATGTTTCAATGGATGGAAGGGTCATCTTATAAGAATAGGTTAAGATCTTTTAACTTGTTTTTGTAAAGGAAACATAAAATATAATTTAATTGAGTTTTTACAAGTTTATATAGGTAATCAAAGAATAAATGCCTTTGATGTTTGTTCTCGAAACATGTATTTTACCTACTGCCTGTAGCTACAATCACTGTGCAGCATGTCAGCATACATTTTACAGACCTATATCATATTGTTACGACATCGAGGTCACGTGATTAGTATCACGTCATTCTCGAACATTCACGTCTTTTCCTTAAATCCAGTGATCCTTCTAGATATAGTGTAGTCTTGTATATATAAGACTGGCCATGAAGCGATGGGGAGGTAATGAGTAATTGAATGTATGCGGACAGAATATTGTTGGCCACGTGAGACGTGAGTTATAGCGTTGTTATAGAGCGACTGTTGAAATTAAGTGTATCGTAAAGTTGTATTAGGAAAGAATAAACCAATTTTATTTAAGAAAGGACTTGTGTCACTAAAGTTTAGTCGGAAATAATTTACGGAAAATTAACTAACGAACGGAGACGTAACAATATAGAAGTTGACAGTTTCTGCAGCTCAATGTAAAGGGGCTGCAATGTATACATAGTATGTGTCTTTGCATATCTGCAAGTTATATGCTTTTAATCTGTATGAAGTGGGATGATTTGCATATAAATTACATCTATTATGCATACATGTTTTGACTATATTTTATATCTGCATCAAACATATTCTCAAAGACACTGAATCATTTTGCATCTACTCTATAATATGCATGTTTTTATCTTTCAGAATTGGATGGAATGTATATATTTTACAACTTCCAGCAATGTTAAACATCTGCTTTACCAGAGGCCCCTTATTGTGATTTAAATGGTGTGTTCAGTTTTGTGAGAATGTTAAATAGGTGCCTGTTGTCTTTCTTTATAAAGATATACAACACGTGCTGTGACAACACAACAACACTGACAAGTCTACTTTGGTTCATTTGATTCATTTTTTCATATAACAGAAGAATCAGTTACTTATTAGGAACCTTTAAAATAATAATACATTTATATATTGATTTTTGTATGTCAGGAAAGAGCTCCATCATCCATTAATACCTTAAAGCTCGCTTTTTTTTGTATAACATATATATTGTTTAAGATTTGTAAAGACAAGCTAGGCTCCATTGAAGAAAGTGTGATTGATTTATGTAATCAGTTACCATGTGCAGTAGTAGAGGTCAGTACCTTAAAGTAATTTAAAGGGAAATCAATAATATCTTGAAAAATAAAGAGTGGTTTAAGATTTTACTTTTTTCATTAGGGTAGTTGAGCATGGGCAACCTTGAAGGACTGAATAGTCCACTTTTTGTGTATGTTTTATATTGAATTTCACAATGATTTTTTTCTGTTAAAAGGGTCTGCAAAGCTCAGAATAGCTTTGAGAACACCAGGAATAATAATAAATCAGTTTAAAGAATAAAATAGAACAGTATTGAAGAGTTGAGTGAATTGAATAACATTTTTCAGACATTAAGGATTCTCAGTTCAATATGTAATTATGTGTATAATTTACTGATAAATATGTTTAGATGCATAATTATTCCTTTTTGAAAGAGTATTTGAATTCTAGTTTTGAAAGCTATAGCCAAGATGACACTAAAATTTACTCTTTATCTGATGGATGTATGATTTTTTCTTTTCAGTTTCCTTGTAAAAATCTTGCATGGTGACACTGATTTTTTCTTGTTTGCTCAACAGTGGTCTCCCACAGTTTGCATAGATGTATCAAAAATGATTGTGGTGAGTAAGCTACAGAAGTATGTATGTCTCTATATAATCTAATAATACCTGCATACAGAAAAATGGGAAGAACATGAAATAAACAAACACTAAAATTAAAGTAGCTTGTCAGAACTAGCTGAATCAACTAGTGGAAAAAAGACAGTTTTTTAAGGTCTTCTAAAGCACAAGTTTGGTTTAAAAAAACAACTAAAACTGCTAAATATGCAATGAAAGCAAATTAAAAAAACATGCTTATTTAATTTTCATTAATATTTCTCGTGTGAGCATGTAATTTATTAAAAAATTATATAAGATGTTAGGTGTCTATTGTTATTTGTTTTATGCTAATTTTTCTCACATAAGTAATAGGTTTATGAGTTTTTAGGAAAATCCTGAAAATTTTAATTATCAATTTAGGTTAAACTATTTGAAATTACAGAATATATATACTTATTATTTTGTCTAAAGCCAATAAAAAAAAAGACCTGACATTCATCTTCATGCTAAACAGGCAGTTATAAAAATGAGAGGTGGGAATTGTCATAGTGGTTCCAACTTTCAAGAGTTGTAAGATATTTAGATAATGTATATCCACTAATATAAACAATATATCATTACTGAAGTTTTCAAAATATTTTATTCCGTATCAATCCACAAAGAAATATTACAGTGAACTTTCTGGGCTTTGCAGTGGAAAAATAAAAATTGTAACTTGGATACGCCTAAAATTTTGATAAAGGTTTCAATGTAACTGGACAAAAATGTGTAAGATTTTAGTGTGATTTAAAATACTAAGTTTTCTTTAATATTATATTTTACATCTGTAATTTGAGCTTGAACATTATACTTGTGTTGCTTATTATGACAAAAATACACTCAGTTTTGGGCTTTTATTGTAAGTATTAATGGTCCAACACAGTTTACCTACAAAGACCCATGGTTACTGATGTAAAGAGCACTGCTAATGCATATACATGAGAATAAAAAGCTATTACTAGTTTTTTGTTTGTCAGCTAATAGAATTATAAAATTTTGAGTGGAAATCATATGCAACTGGTTAGTCAGTGTTTTAGAAATTATAAAAAATACCCATTAAATTATTATAACGTGTCTTGAAAATACTACTACTTCAGTGTTGTACATCTTTCACGTGTTGATTGCTGTATTAATACATGTTATGTTTCAGCCATCTTGTTTATGAACTAAACTTTTTTCAATATAGATAAAAATGTCTTTGTGTTATGTAAGTTATAAGGAAATACAGATTTGAGGTTGTATCTGTATTTTCCCCAGTGTCAAATGCCTCCTGGAGTTGACTGTTGGACAATACATGGTTTATGGTAAGTGGTAATGACTGTTGTTATTTTTGAAGAATGACTAAACTTATTACTAGCATGAATAATATAACTTATACAAGTTTCAGTTAACTAAGATAACCTATTTTCTGCATAACTACAATACAAATGTAACACTACCTCTGATAACACTTATATTAATAGTTTTTAATGTAAGCAAAACATCAGTGCATTCACTCTTAAATTCTTACAACAGTTGAAGATATTGACTACCCAAAATACTATAATAATATGAAACCAGTTAAAAAGTTATCTGGTAACATAACCAGGATTCTTGACTTACACTAATTTGTTGCTAGAGAAACCCAAAAGTCACTATCTCTAGCAACAAAGTCGCTAAGATGGCAACAGTGGCTGTTAATGGCTGGAGATGGCTTGAATGGGTAATGAAGAAAAACTTTAATATAAGTTTAACATAACAGCAAATGTACAACGTTTCGACAAGGTTTTGTCATCATGAAAGTTTTATTAACATTAAAGTTTTTCTTCATTACCCATTCAGGACGTCTCCAGCCATTATTAGTCTCAAAGTGGGTTCCTCGTCATCGAATTTGAACAGTGCCTGTTGTTTTTTTGGCAGGTAGGATAGCCTAGCTGTGATTTATGTTGCTTGGATGTTTAATATATCAAAATAATACCAGTTTTTACTCATTTACAGGCTTCTTTTTTGAAAAATCCTACATAGTCTCACTGCTAAAACACTTTACAGTTTAAAAATGTAGAAATATTTCATTTATTTATTTCCTTGCACTATCTAAGTAATGTTTTGTAAGGAACTGTTCTGCTTCACTAGAGCTTATTTTAAATCGAATTCACTAAATAAAGTTTTCTTTTCAGTGATTAAACAAAAATGATAGGAAAAAATTTATTTTGTTGATTTTCTATGAAAGGTATTTTATAGAATCACATTATTACGATGGTTAGCATTGTGACAACTCTGCAAAATATGTAGAATACAAAAATATATTTTTTTGCCTTTTTTTTACAGAACTGTTAACTGTATTCTAAATTATCTTTCATACAATGATCATAATTAAGGATGATTATTCTGCATTGAAATTTAAATGATATTATGTCACATTTTATTAGTAAATAAAATGTTTAATGTCTTTTATCAGACCTTGCAATAGCCAGATCATTAATTTGAAAACTTTGATGTTGGTAGGCTCAAATATTTGAAAACTATATTTATGTTTCAAAACTGTATACACTCATTTTAAATATGAATCTTGCAAGATTATATTCTGGGGAACTTTTTCACTTAACAAAATTATATACTAATTAATATGATGAAACTTGCAGGCCTGGATCTCTGAAACAACCCAGTCCCAGATTTTGTCACACAAATTCTAGTTTTGATTTGGAGAAGATACAGGTTGGTGTACCATATCAACTTTTGAATATGTAACTGACGAGACTCACAGATTTTTATGTGTGTATTTAAAAAATCAGTGTGTGCTCTTAACAACAGACATACTTTTATTACAAAAATCTGAGTAATAATAAATAAAATAACAACATTAAAAAACATATATTGAATCAGTTTTGATTATTGATTGCTGTGACTTAAACCATTGATAGTTGAGAATGTTTGGCTCTGAATGGCTGTTCTTGTACACTCACCCTCGAGAAAAGTAAAACACCCACCTTTAATTTTTCAGGAAGTCATTGCTTACCCTCTTAAATTTCTGTAAAGTAACTGGCATCTAGTAGCTGTTGAAGTCAACTCATTCTGTAAGTCAGTCACCCTGTTAGTCTGTCTTCTCGAAATCTTAAACATATTTCTTGTCCTGTTATTATCAGAATACAGCAAAATAAAATTAGAGGCCTCTGTCTTGTTGATTGCTGGAATATTCTTGTAAAACTTCAATAAGATAACCTTTTACTCTTTTCTCAAGAGAAAATAAATTTAGAGATCTTAATCTATCCTTATAAGATGACCTTTCCATCCTAGATGCCCTCTTCTGAATCTTTACTGATATATGTCTAATTACTACAAATAATTTTGTTTTCTCTCAGGTGTTTATTCTGCAAGTGGTAACATATTGTGTAGATGAAAAACTCAGCCTTTTTAGGGATAAAAATAAGAAATTAAGGAAGGGTGAGAACTGATTAATAGGAATGTTTTTTATATATTAAGTTGTGTTATTTTTGTGAATACATTCAGTTTGCATTTGTCTGTCTGTCTGGAACTTTTCTCACAAATTTCTCTATCAAACGCTACAAATCTCATATTGTTAGAAAGGCCTTTGTCCAAGGAGTCCTGATTGCATATTGGCTTGACAAAATTTTAACGAGTAATTTACACTGAATTTTCTACTTCTTGAAAGGGTGGTGAATAAATTAGAAAAGAGGAGATGCCTAGATAGAAAATCTCATAATTCTCACACTATGGGAAATTCAGGATTTTTTAAAATATTGCCTTATAAACTTAAGAACTTAAAACTTGTACACTATTAGAATATGTAATATTAACTATGTTTTTACACTATTTATTTGTATATCCTGATAAGAAAGTGGTTTAATTAAATTTTGAATGTAACCCACTAAAAACCTTATGACATTCACAGAAAAAGATGTGAGAAGGTTTGTTTGTCTGACTGCATAAAACCTTTTTCAAATAGACCAGGCTTTATCGATCTAATACACAATTCCTGCAAGAAAGCATGTCTTAAATGCTGTGCATGAAAATGATAGAATAAGGAACAAGGGCATGAAAACTACTGCACATTTTTCGTGGGTCAAGACTAATTCATTATTAATCCACTTGTATGCTGGTATAAATAATGAAAATAAATCCAATAAAATGTTAGAAGTGGATTAGGAGAATAATGAAGTGTTTGTTCCTATACTCAAGCCAACAGAGAAATAAATTAGGAAATGACTTTAGTACCTTTACTGAAACTCCATTGATGACAAACAAAAATTTTAAGCTTCCTGCTCATCCTTCCCCTAACATTAAAATCAAATTTTAAATAACCTGAACAGAATTTGAAGCACAGGGTTTAGCATCTCCTGTTAATGTAATGAGAAAAGAAGATACAAAATAGTGGAGAAAAATTCTTTACAAAAAAAAAACTGTTCACACAATCAAAGATACTTTAATAAACATATACATATATATATATATTTCTTACATGTGATTTGAAAAAACACACACATACTTAGTAACTAAAAACTTCTGTACACATATATAATGAGAATACTTATATAGTATATACTTAAACTGATATTAAAACTCTTTTTAATGAACATGTTACTTATAAATAGGAATGCTGTGAATGCAACTCATTGAAAGTTTACATTAACATAATTCTTATTTTGATATTTTTAAGACCAAAAGTCTTTTTTTTTTCTGAATATTTAGCTTCTGAGACAACTTTGTTTAATGTACCACTCTTTAACTCTAAAATTACTGATGAAGCCCAAAGTTACTTTTTAAAGTTTTTTTTCTAATTATTTATGCACCAAAGTGTTTGTGGGTCCATGAATTTGTATGGTTCATAATAATATGGGCCACAAAAAACATGTAACCAAAAATACCATCTATGTTGCAATTAATCCCACTAATTATTGCCAGGATTTGTAATAAAACTAAAACAAGTTTCTTATTTCCAGAGAACAACAATCATATTTTTCTGTGTAAAAATGTCAAACTAAGTATGGGAAAATTAAACATATAATTACAACTTTTCAGATTTCATCATAAGTGAACAGATACTGCTTTAAAAAAAGTATGGTTAATCTGACTTTTAAAATAGCTTGTTTTTATGCAACTGTGTTTATCCACTTGTTAAAGTGCTTGTGGGTGTAATGTGAAATTGTTATTCTAGCATCTTGTTCCTGATTTGGAGAAGGAGTGGCCAAGTTTTTTTGTGGAAAGAAAAGAATCAAATTTTTGGTACGTATCATATCTATCTGTTGTGTGAATTTAATGATGGTTTCCATTTTATGTTAACTTAGATGCACTCCAAAATGCAATTGTAGATTTTTCAAAAATTCATTAAGATTTAATTTAATGAAGAAATGAACAAAATAACTTATAAATGTAGATTTCAATTTCATAGTTATAGACAAAGTTTACATGTTTGTATACTTTACGCATTTGTGCAACTTTTTTTTTTATGCTTTCATCTTGTCAGTGCCGTATGTTGTGAAATGAGAAGAACTTTTAACACTTATTATTGTAATGCATGTCTTGCACTTGATTCTTTTAGACTACTGTTATCAATAAACTTTGAATAAATTTAGGGTCACAGAAGGATCCAAATTATGGGAGAACAGGTATATCATTGAATTAACCCTGTCTCCCCAGGTACCCTTTACTGCACATGACGCAAGGTTTTAATGTCTTACATTCGAAATTTTATTAAACTACTTTTTTTTATGTTATACCAATTAGAATAGCATAATATTTTATCTCAGCTAATAATCCATATTTTAATATTATACAAGTTTTAAGTTCTTAATTCTACAAGGAAATATATAACAAATCCTGAATTTTCACTAGTATGACCCACGTGACAAATTTTGTCTTAGCATGTCATCATCCTTATTTTATCCATCACCCCTTGAAAATGTACGAAATTAAATGTAAAGTAATCTCTATAAAATCGTTTTTGCTAAAATAAAAAACCTTAATTTTTATATCCTTCAATTTTGTTTGGTTACAGAACTATCAAATAGAAAATCAGACCCCTCCTGCCACACCCACCTGTCACATCCTCTTTCACAATTCGTTGATAGTTCTCTCATATGTTTCATTATATATTACCTATACCCAATAGAAAATCAAGGTTTTCATCTATCAAAGGATGTATTATATAAGGTTGTGTTCTGAAAAGATAATCATCAATTTCGCTCAAAGTAGCAACATCGTTCCCGTGGCTCTTGTTGCATAGTTAGAAAGCCAGGAAAATTGAGAGGTAAGTGAATTTGTCTACTTTTTGCATGTTATTAGTTTATATTATTTAGTGCATTATTTAATCAAATTAAAATTGGTAAGTGCTTTACAATAATTACTATAAAAATCAGGCTTAACTCTTCTCGACAATCGAGGGCAAGAAAAAAGAAGATTGGGTAAGTACTTTATTTCTTGTTTTTCATATTCATTCTTTATCTATTATTATAAAAGTAACTAAAATTAAAATATGGATCTTTTTAAGTTATTCAAGACTAGATTAAGTAAAATAAGTAATAATAATATTATTAAAATGGTTCACGAGGCACGCATGTGAGCTGCACGTTCCCCGAGTGATTTACAACTTATAGTGGCACAGGTAGCAGTTAGACACTGTTCAAAGAACAGTAAAACAATAAAATGTAATTATAAATAGATGTATAATCTTACAAACTTAGAGCTACTTAGGATAAATGAATGTAGTTTCATGTTACAATTTGAAGTCATTCTAGAAAGAAAAAAAAAAGGTTAAATTAGGTTTATTTTATTTTTTTGGTTATGAGGTCGGTTGAATTGACCGATCCTGTTTTGATATAGGTTAGAGAAAATAACATATAAACTAAAAGGATTTAGTGAAAAAAAAACGTTTGAAATGCATTTAGGAGGTTTTAGAGATTACAGAAAGGAAATTTGAGATGATGAAAAGTGTTTTTTAATTTTAACATGAAAAATACTTTTCACACAGACTATTCAAAACATATACTCAATATATTCATGGACAAATCTTTATTTTATTTTACACAATATATATATTTACAGTTAAATAAAGATTGTAATTCTTATAAAATATATTTTCATGATAGGAAATATGAATGGAAAAAGCATGGAACATGTGCAGTTGTTTTGTCAAGTCTTAACTCTCAAGAACTCTATTTCACCAAGACCCTGGAGTTGAAAAAACAGTATGACCTGCTAAAGTGTGTAATATATTCATTTTTATAATTAAAATTTTTATGTTTAATTTATGGTTAAGACAGAAGTTTTGTATTTTGTTTTTATCAAGTGGAGTAAGCTATCTGAACTTTTCCATAGAACATATCAAATTTATATTTATTCCAAGCATTTGAACTAGAAAGGTAAATTCTAATACTGTTATTTTTTTGGGGGGGGGGAACAGGTTTGGATGTAAACATAACAGAGTGATTGCAAAGGATTATAAGTCTTTGTGGCATAAATTATTGTGTTCCAGGAATATTTTTTTAATCAGATGATGCACTTAGTATTGTTTGTTTAGAGGAGTGGGTGCATTGTTCAGTTGAAACATGATGGGAAATGTCCCAAGATAGGCCTTACCTTTTCAGAGATTTATCTGTGGAATTTCTTGCCTTGTTTAATTAGTTTATTAGGCTTATGCCCATGTCTGTACAACGAATGTGATATTAAAAGGTACTTGTACATCTTGGTAGAGTTGTCAAGCTAATTTAGAATGCAACATTTTTTAAACAGTTCATAAATCATTTAGCCTATTTGTTCATTTTTCTCATGGATAGCATGTGATTTCAGTTAATTTAAATGAATAAAAAATATCAAAATAAGTCATTTTTTATGTCATAATTCTTGTATAATATTTATATTTCAGAAAAAAAATATATATATATATGTGTGTGTGTAAATGTTTGAATATTTTATAAACCTCACTGTCTTCCAAAATAAAAAAAATATTAATAACTGCGAGGCTTGGCAACTCCTGCTGGTTAGGGCACTTAAATCTCATTCTGAGGTTGCAAGTGTGAATCCCATCACAAAGCGTGCTCACTCTTTCAGCTGAATGGTCATTATAATGCAAATGTTAATCTCACTAGTTTGCAGCTGGTGATGTCGACTAGTAGCCTTCCCTATAGTCTGTCACTTCAAAATTAGGGACAGCTAGCACAGATTGCCCTTGAGTAGCTTTGCATGAAATTGAAAAACAAACAAATTAAAATAATGAAAAAAGAAGTGAATAATGTTTAATAGCTTGCATTTGTACAGAGTAATTAACAATGAAGAAAAAGTCTAATTGAATAACCACTTTTACTAAAGTTTAAGTGTCTTCAGTGTTATTACTTTTGGCAGATCTGTAACAAACAAAATGACAAAAGTTTGTTCCAAGATATCTCTAGTTGGAATTAATTAAATGGAAAACGTTTTCCACCATGTCTGTCATGGTTTAGTGATAAGCATTCTATGACTGTGAATTTGGTGGTTCGTAGCCTGTTGCAACAAAATCATGATTTGCACTTTGAGACCATAATTGCACGATAAATGTGATGGTCAAATCTCATTATTCAGTCAGTTAAGAGTAGTCTAAGAGATGGTGGTGAGTGTCATTGATTAGCTGCCTTCCATCTAGTTTATCAGTTCAAAATTAGGGATGGCTATGAGCAGATAGCCTTTTGTATAGTATTACATGAAAATTCTAAAACAGAACTAAAAGTGTTTTAATTATCATATCTCTTAACACTTCAGATGAAGTGATTTCTCAGTAGGTTAGAAACTAAGAATTTCAATTATATTGACCAGCAGAAATGCTGCCCTACGGCCGGCTGTTAGTGCTAGTAATTACTAATCATAACATTCATACCTGATTAAAAAAATTTAGAGAAAGTGAGCATGTTTCAAAAAAAGGATTTTTCTGGGAAGTACTGCACAGGAAGAGTGTTTGGATTATTCTAATACAAACTTTAATGCTTTTATATATTAAAAGTGGTACCCTTTATTGAAAAAATAATAGTTTTTTAAAAACACTAGTTTTTCAGTACTACATTTTAAAATTGCATTAATAAAGATATAATCAAACTCTGATGATGACAAATCCTTGTCGAAACATTGTACATTTGCTGTTATGTTAAACTTGTATTAAAGTTTTTCTTCATCACCCATTCTAGCCGTCTCCAAGTGTGTTCCTCGTCATCGATTTTTAAAACCCTCATGTACAGCACTAGTTAAGTGTTATAGCTATTGTGAAGAGAGTACTTTTATTTAAAAGTGTATTCCGTTATAAAGAAATGATTGTTGTACATACCACAGTTATTTTGCTAATTGTCAGAATTGTGAATACCCAAATGTGAAATTTTATATGAATTTTTGTTTGTGGTGGAATTCAATTGATGGTGCCACATTGTATTTATTATTTCGGGTCCATTAGAGTAAATCAAGAATAATCTCAAACATTGTAGACACTATTGTAGTTGGTTGAGTTACCTTAAACACAAGAAGTATATATGTTATATTGAGATATTGGATTAAGTACTTCAGTTTAAATACCTAAAGTTGTTTTGTTGCACTGACAGTTGATAATTTTTGTAAGTAAATTAGTTTATTTTCAGTTTTTAAATTTGTAAACATGTAAATACTAAAAAAAAAAAGAAAACATTATTTTCTTTTACAGAATATTGAAGGAAAATGATATTTTTCCTAGCACAGAGAAATACTACATGGTAAGTGTATATAAAATGTAATAAAACTATTTACTCCATGATTTATGATAACTTGCATTGTATATATATATATATATATATAT